GAGAGACTACCACCTAGTATAACAGTAAAATTGTTTCAAGGTCATGAATGTCTATCAAAAGTCCATAGTATACTGGGCTCATAAATCCCATACATTAGGTGACTTCTGTGCGCTTTAAAAAATAAAAAAAAAGCTTAATTTTTATACTGCGCATGCATTACACACTTGTGATCTAAAACTGGTAAATACATTTTCTGTTTCTTACCATAAGGATATGGATGAGCTGTCCAGTGTATGAGTTCCAAACTTTTAAAGTCATGTTGCTAACTGCAGTGATCACACAGTTATCATGGCGGTCCCAAGCCACCATTGTCACTTTTAGTTTTGTTGTCTTGTCTTCCACACCTTGAGTGCTGTGTCAGGAGATGAAGAGAGGAAACTATTCTGACTTGACCATTTAAAAACAAGTTGACTAACCAAACAAATTAGCATTTTCTCCTTTTTACTGTTGTGCATTTACATGCATCTGTGCTAAAGAAAATACATGAGTGTCCCCTCTCCTTTTGGAAATGCCTAATCTGATTAAATGGTCTCAATGTAACATCATATGAATACAGTCTGCATTGTCTAAAAATTCTCTATAGGTTGGTAGCTCTGGGATATGAAATATTAACCGTTGCAGTGGGGCCACCCCAGTGCTGCAAGGGTTAGGTTTTTTTTTCTCTAGGGTCTAAAATAAAATAAAAAATACTCACTTAATCGTCAGTCCCACCTGGCTGCTAGACCGGTCCACGCAGCCTCGTCTTCCCCAAGTTCCTGCAGTCTATGGATCTGCGAAACCAAGAGACATACCACAACCGAAGTGGAGGGGGAGATAGGTGAGCGGTCACTGCTGCAGGATCGATGATCAAGTGAACATATCTTTATTTTAGACCTTCGAGAAAAACGAGCACTTAACTCTTGCAGTGCAGGGTTTTTTCATATTTCATATGCCCAGAGTTCTTCTTTAAGTCAATTCAACTTGTTTGTTTTAGGTGGCTGCACAAGATCATTAGTTTGCGCTGTTTCTCCCTGCTATAAAGCATAGTAAACAGGAGGCCTTACCTAGTAGGACGAGTAGCCATGTCTAATAAAATGCTCTTCCACTCCTTTTTCTTGTACTGCCAAATTCGAGCAGTTCCATCACGGCTCCCACTTACAAACCTTGAAAATTAATAATTTTAAAACAATCAAATGTGGAAGCAACGCCAATTAAATGGTTTCACAAACTGAATGGTTAGTTACAAAAATAATGCCTCATTACACAGTACTGGTTTAGTTTTGATCCACAGGTTTTAAACAGCTTAAAAAAAAGGCACAGCCCAATAGTACTCACCGACTACTTCCGTTTGAAAACTGGATGCTATCCACTTTATCCTACAAAGCAAGAAGAAAAAATGTAAAAAAAAAACCTCAATACAATTTGCATTCAGCATTAAAGATACTGAATTATAGATTGCAAGCAATACTTACTGTATGAAACTCTAGCTCAGAAATCTTTTCCGGCTGACCAGAGCCGAAGTAATAAACCCTTATCATATGGTCAGTGCTCCCTGTTGCTAGAAACATGCCTCCTAAAAAGGACAAAATAAAAGGAATATAGAAATTAATTCAAAATATAAGGCTAAAGGTCTTTGATGAATGTAATCAAATCAATGCAAATAGATAGAAATAATCTCAGACTTCAGTGACAAATACAGGTACTTGCATTCATTGCCTTATTGGCTTCTGCCCAAATCAGCCCTAGTATATGTGAGCTTATATGTATGCATGTGAGCTAGAGAGCTAAGATTGTAGCTCCTTTAGGGCAAAAACCAGTGTGAATGTAGAGTATGTAAAACACTACAAAAAACAGTTGCAACTATGCCTTTAATAAAAAAAAAAAAAGTTTTGATCCTCTGTGGATATACTGTGTGTATATTTTGTAAAATTAAAGTATTTCAATAAAACTATTGCATTGTTAAAACATCCCTACAAAATGCCATGCAGCCATTGCTAGAGTGCACTTAGATAGTAAGTGGCTGCAGCACTGAAACACAACAAAAACACAACAAAAGATGGGGAAAAAAAGTGAAAAGTACTTTAGTTTCAAAAATGGCATTGCTTTCTATAACAGGATTAAGTTTTGCACTTAACAAAATATTTGTCAAATCAGTTTCCTGGAGTTCATTAAGGGACACGGTATCAAAATGAATTCAAACAACTTGGTTATACTGCCAACAACAGGAGGGAATTGGACACTGGCAAACAAAAAAGCAATTAGCCAGTATGGTATAACCCCAGCCACTCCCATCATGCTTCAGTTTTGTAGAAATCAATATTAAGTGTAGATCTTAAACCCAGAAGGGTGGGCCTTGTGTCCCTTAATGAACTCCAAACCCTTAATTAACTTTTTGTTATAGTTCAGTAAGGGACAAAGGGGTCAAAAGTAATTCAGCGACAACTGGGATGCCCAAAAGCAGTCCAACTGAGGGGTTAGCAAATGGACAAAACACTAACAGCCCACAAAGCAGTGTAAAAACTGTGGGCAGACTGCGGTTCAAAGAGCTGCCTGAAAGACCTTACAGAAGCTTGCATCAGCCGATGCCTGAAATCCATCTGGTAAAACTTAGAAGATGTATAACGAACAGAAGAAGACCAGGAAGTGGCCACAAAAAACAAATGTCTGATGCGGAAAAGCCCAAAAAGAACTTACAGACCAGGTACGGTTTTCCTTGACAGAAAAAGATGATACTTTTTCCTAAAGCCAGTAGGCTTGAATGATGGCCTGTCTGAGCCACCTAGAAATGGTGGAACGAAAAGCTGGTCCCCTTTACAGGGACCAACAGGAATGACAAAAATAATAAGTCTTTCCTAAAGAAGACATAGTGGCTGCAATTTGCACAGCACAAACTTCATACATTCAAGCAGTGAAAGGAAATCTACTTTAGATGTACTGGGGCTGGACACAGTGACACAAGCACTATATCCTGGTTAAGGTAAAAAGCAGAAACTACCTTAGGATGAAAGTAGGTTCTGGCCTTTAAGGCATCCTATTCCTTGTGCAAAATCAGGAATGGTTCCTTACAAGACAAGGCAGCTGGCTCAGTCAGATGCCTAGCAGAGGCGAGGGCAACAAAAAAGACAATCTTGTGTGTAACAGATGACAGTATATCTCTATTGGGTTTAAAAGGCAGTTTTTGGAGAACAAAAAGAACCAAATTCAGATACAAGTCATTGGTGGTTGTACAGGTGGGGCTATAGAAGAAACACCCTCTTTAAAGGCATTAAACAAAGAATGAGGGGCAAATCGGTACAAGATAGCAAGGGCCAAAGTTTGACTCTTAATGGTACTGAAATTCAAATGCTTATCCAGGCCACATGGCAAAAATTCTTCAAGGAGTATTTCCTGGGATTCAAATATTTGCCTTGCACCAAAGTATGCCTTCAATGTACCATGGTAGGCCTTGTAGGAGGTAGACCTCCTAGCTTTCAGGAGCATAGCAATCACCTAATCAGAAAGGGCCCTTATCCTTTGGGAACTGGGCTTCAAAGGCCCAACAATCAAGACTCCATGAAGCAGAGTGGTAAATTCATCTTTGGGACAGAATAATCAGTCAATCCAGAAGGGGTCTGATAAGGTCCGAGTATGACATCCATCTGGGCCAAGTAACGGCTATGGGGATCACTGGAATGTCCTTCATCTCGATCCTGTGGAGCAGATGAGGAAGGAGTTTCATAGGAGGAAAGGTAATACTGATCCCATAGAGCCAGCAGAGCATCCACAGCTACTGCCAGAGAATCTCTGCACCTGGAGACAAACCTGCTCAGTTGTTAAATCTGGAGACCAGGAGATAAACCTCCAGGATCCCCCACCTGCGACAGAAATCTTGAAGCACCTCCAGGTGAAGAGATCATTCTCCTGGGTCCAGGCATTGCTGGCTGAGGTAGACTGCTTGCCAACTGTCTACCCCTTCAATGTGAACAGTGGACAATGCTGAACTAGAGTTCTGACTAACACAAAAATGTTTTTGCCTCTCTTTCCGCAGTAAGCCTCGTTTCTCCTCTGATGGTTGATGTATGCCAATGCTATGGCGTTATTTGACTAAATCCTAAATCATATGGTCCTGTAGAAGAGAGATGGGTACACAGTGGCAACAGCCTACCTTTTAATAAAAGGTATTCAAACAGATATTGCTCAAAAAAATGTATATACATATCTATACTGTGCCTTTTATTTAGGATTTACTATACTTTAAAATAAAAAATCGAACTGCAGCAAAAATTTAAAATGTAAGCATGTCCCTCGCTAGTGAAATTACAATGCTCAGCTGGCTTTAGGACCAGAACAGTATTATGCAGCTCTGGTGCACTCACAGATCATTTCACTAACCTGCATATGCACTGGGCCAAGGATATGTCTGTCCACAAACAATGACAGCTACATGCGAATGAACCAAGTTGAAGACAAGACTGCCATTACTCTCTATGGCAACAACAGCTCTTGCACAGATGCATATATGGAGCTGGGATTGTCAGAGGTGAAGACAACTGTACAGGAGCAGGACAGTATAACATTTCACTATAACAGATGTACATGCTTGAGAAATACAAAGTCTGCACGATCAATGATGTATGTTTGCTGATATTGCAGCCACTTACCAGAACTGAAAGAAGAACAGATCATTTGAACACCAGGCCGTGGTCTCTCTGTGTACTTTATGGGTCGGGGACTAAAAGAGAAAAGTTAAAATATATTTACAAAATAATTCAAGTAGTGGAAAATGATTTAAAAAAAAAAAAACACACACACACCAAAAAACACAAAATTATCTAAAAACACATTTTCAGAGAATGCATAGATGGCGAGGATGTACCCACTGTCTGTGGTCAATACCATCTGGTATCATGCATTCCTGGGAACCCAACATTTTACAAACTGACCAAAACTATAGGTAAAAGCTAGGGATGCACCAATATCATTTTTCAAGACCAAGTACTTTCCCTCAGGCACTTGCCAATACCAATTACTGATACTTTTTCTTAACCACCTCCGGGCCGGCCGTAGTAAAAAAACGGCCGGCCCGAGCTCTCTAGATCTGAGCGGGCGTCTTTAGACGTCCGCTCAGACACGCCCCCCC